AATGATAATGTCAATGTCACTTATCTAGCAAAACAAGATTCAAAGAATGCCACATTCTCATGTTAACAAACATAAACCAAACACACAACAATAGTTCAAAACATCACAGAGGTACACTTAGCATAACAATGGCAAGCAACAAACTTCAATGCATATATCTCATGATGGTTACAACCCTAAAACAACAAAGTAAGCACTGGTCCTTAACAGTCACATGAATCATCCCAATGATTTTTACCAAGTCCAACAGAACTATACAACTTAAAAGCACATTCAAAACAACATGGCACTATTGATCATCATAGATTTAAGATGTGTTTCAACAACATCTAGGTGAATCACTTCAATATTGGCCAGACATTGCTAAACAACAGGCAATTTTTTCAAAAACAGTTGAGATGCAATTTCAAAGCTTGAGTGCAAAACTTAACATGCTTGTAATGGTTTAAAGGTGTACACACATTCTAAACATGTTATACACAAAGTTCCAATTGAAAGATGCATCAAAAATGTGCTAGAATTGAAAATGGTGTGTGTGTTGCAAAATGCATTTTTGATTGAAAGTGGTCAAAATAGAATGTTGCAGATCCAACATTACTCCACAACAATTGCAAGCAATCTTTTCCTATGTTCATACATGACCTAGGATAATGTTTAAGGGAGCTTAAAAATCATAAACACAACAACAACACCATATTGTATGATGATCATAAGAGCACTACACATATTGATGAGCAACTCAAACAAAACAAAAGCAGATTTAATACACGAGTTGTATCATTCTTAAAACACATTGTAACTAAAGCAAGCTAAGCATGTTCATGACAGTTCAAGATAGGAAATGTGACTACTAACCTCTTGTAGACCTCCAAGCAAGCTTATACAGTAGGGAAAACCTTGAAGACTCCCAAATGAGATCCAACCAATGCCTTGATGAAAACAACAACTTTTCTTGCACTTGAAGTAAACAAGTGAACTTTGTGACAGATCTCAAAACAAGTGATGATGAAGGTATTTTAGGTTATGGACAGTTGGTACATCATAAACCAAAGGTGTTTGGAGGGTTAAAGTGATCAAAACAGGCCTGAGCAAAGATTTATCAGATTTTGTGTGGAAAGTCAAACTTTGTTTGGTTGAAAGTTGACTTTTAAGAAAATGGAGTTTTTGACTGGTTTAAGAGCTTGAACACCTCCCACACATCATTTGTGGATTGTGTAGATGGTTTGTGATGATTTTAAGTGTATGGAAATGGTTTTGGAAGGCTAAACGCTCAAGGCAGATTTTTGAGGAAGCTTTGGAATGGTTTCTTCACTTATAAGCAAAGCAAGACAAGATGAGAGCTATGGTTTTCTCTTGGGTTTTAGAGTGCTTTGGGGTGTGTTTCAACATAGAGGAAACCTCTATTTATAGGCAAGAAATGGTTTGGGGCAGATTTGTATTTTGGCTTTTTGGAGGGAGTTTTGTGATGAAATCTTATTCAAGATCATGGACAGCTGCACACTCAAGTCCTTAGCTCAATGCAAGGCATAAATCAAGTGGTAAGAAGGACATGGAAGTGACTGAAGTGAAGTTAGAGAGTAGGAGAGACTGCTGCTACAGATTTCTCACGAAAAGTTTCTCTTTCCTCTTGATTTCTTTGATTAAAATATTACAACTTGCCTCCAACTTGTAAGGCTTACCAAATCCCTTTATTTTCTGCATTTCTACTCATCATGCTCTCTAATTATCAGATAGAAGCATGATCAAATGTCTGAGAATGGTTCAAGTGGTTAAAAAGTGAGTTTGTGAAAAAGTGGAAATGGTGCACTCAAGTATTGAGACCCCAACTTGTTGGATTCATAACTCTCAACTCATAAGGGCTATGGAGGAGTTCTAGTACATTTTGGAAAGCCCTCATGAAGCTATACAACTTTCATGTTTTCATGATCTTCAGATTCCAACTGGAACCAGGTCAAAAATCCACTCAAAGTTGGCTAAAAACATGCCTAAAAAGGTCAGCAACAGAGAATTTTTCTAAGTGTTTTTTCTCCCTCTTGTAATGATTTTGGCTATAACTCCAAATCTACTCATTTTATGCCCATGGACCACTGTGAGACTTTTGTAGGACTTGTCAATACCTTTCCAATGAGCCTTGAACCAACTCAATTGGATGTGTGGTTAGGGAGTTATGGTCTTGCCCCTTTCAAAACCCTAATTTCCCGATTTCTCGATTACTCCTCAATCCTTGATCCAATGGTCATGAAACTTCATGGATAGGTGTGATATGTTACTAGGAACATTTTTGCTTCATACTTTGAGTTCAAATTCCTTATGATTGAAGAGTTGACATTTTGGTCAACCGAACGATCGATCGATGACTACCGAGTCGACTGTTGATGTTCCGGGTCTTTTGAGGCCTTGAAACTTCTTGAGTAGACTTCACTAAGACATATGAACTTCATGGACCATGATCCCCCCATTGGAACACCTTTTAAAACAAAATTCAAACTTCGGTTGACTTTTCCTGATCGAAAACCCTAATCGGAGATCCTGGACTGCATTGTCTTTAATCTTTGGGTGACAACCTCAAATTGGATTCATACTTGACCCAATGGAGTATATTTGTTGATGTGGAGACTTATTTCATGGAGAATCAATCCAATACATTGACTGATTAAACCATCGAAACCTCGATTCCCGGCTATACGGAACCCTGATTCACCTGTATCTTAACAAAGACAAACTTGAAATAGGTTAAGGTTAGATAATCAAATGAATATGATCCTAAAATGATGATGAAGGTCTAAGGGGTCAAAATTCAAGCTGAGTATAGATCAGTGTCCCAACACTGATGTCGAAAGAACTTATATGAATAACATTTTATATGCTAATATAGTGGGTTCTTTGATGTATGTTATGGTCTGTACTAGACCCGACATAACATATGCAGTAAGTCTTGTAAGCAGGTACATGGCGAATCCTGGAAAGGCTCACTGGAAATCATTGAAGTGGACTCTAAGGTACATAAATAGGTCTCTGAATAAAGTCCTAATTTATGGTGGAGCCTTGGGTGAAGATAGTAAAACAACAATTGAAGGATATATCGACTCTGATTATGCAGGTTGTATGAATTCCAAAAAATCTATTTCTGGATATGTGTTCACTATGTTTGGAACAACAATCAGTTGGAAAGCTACACTTCAGAAGGTCGTTGCCTTATCAACCACTGAAGCATAATATATCACCCTAATTGAAGTTGTGAAGGAAGCATTGTGGCTTTAAGGTTTTGCAAAGGAGTTGAAACTTCAAGGTCGAGTTATCATTGTTAAATGTGATAGTCAAAGTGCAATACACCTGTCGAAGAATTCAGCCTATCATGAGTGAACCAAGCACATTGATGTGAGGTTGCATTTCATCAGAGGGATAATCGAGTTGGAAAAGTCCAAGTGCTGAAGGTTTCGACAAATCATAATGTTGCTAATATGATCACCAAGACGTTGCCCAGTTGCAAGTTTTTCCACTGTATGCAGTTGATAAAGCTGCATGAAGAAAGCTAGTTTGTTTCTTGATGTTATAGAGTTAGATCCAAGGTAGAGATTTGTGAGATATTGGATCGAACTCTAGTATGGTCGAAGGGTAGCTTCTGGTTCGACAAGTATTAAGCATGAGGTCGAAGTCTGTTCGCATGCTATTGTCGGAGTAATGCGTATCGTAGTCGAAATTTGTTCTAACATGCATTAGTCAATATTGCTAGGTTAGTTAGCATATTGAATTGGGTCTTGCTTGTAAGCCCAATTGTTTAAGTTAGCTTATACCATAAGTTAGCTTGTAATGAGTAATTGTTAAAAAGCCCATTAGGTTAGTGCGCTAATTTTCTTATAAATAACACGCTAGTCTCTCATCTTGGTATAAGGAAAAATATGAAGATAAAATCCTAATTTCAAGAGAGAGAGGTTATTTTATTATTCTTGTATACTTGTAATCTTGTTTTAAGTGAAAGGAAATAATAACTGTTTATAACCAATCATTGTTGTTCTTTGTCGTTTTACCTTATTTTCTCTGTTAATCCACTATTGTGTGTTTCTTGAATATAAAAAAATCGTTTATATTTTGTTTAAAGACATCCGATTCACAACAATAATATTAATAGTTTATGAATTGGATGTGGAAATGTAATTATTGATAATAGTTAATCTCTTGGATGATGATGAAACCATAATAGGTTATGTATGGTTCCTTAGTTCTTTTTATGTAGAACTTATGATATTGAGTCTTTATATGTTGTCTTTTTAAGAAACTTAATGATAGGATAAATTTTAAAAGATTGTGTTTTATGAGATGACTTTTTTTTTTTTGTGTGTGTGTATTTTAAAATTTTTAAAACTAGTATAATAATAATTCAAACCGATTGAACCTAACCGTATGAACCGATAAACCGACAGCCGATTAAACTAAAATTAATTTTGAATAAAATTGAATTCAACTTTTTCATCCGTAAGTTGGTTCGATTTAGTAAATTTAAAACAGAACCCACCCATAAGTGACCGATGTTCACCCTTATATTATGCTTCAAAGTCTAAACAAAGGTCCTTATCTGAAACTTTCAATTTTCAAATACTCTTCCAATCAAGATCACTGTTGCGGCAATTATGCTTTGCCACCAAATCATAAAATGCCTTCACTGTACCAGCTTCGAAGGTCATACCATCCAAAGAGAGCATGTCCGCAATTTCCTCATAGTTGACAGAAGGCAATTATTCTTTCCTCTTAATTATACTATTTTTGTTCCTTATGTTTAAAGTTGTCAAATATTTTTCCCATGACGATGTTTATTGTTTATAATATGTGACAAGTGAATTTACGACATAAAAATAAAATAAGTTATTAAATAAAAATTCATTTAGATTTAATTATTGTTGTAAATATACAATTTTTTATATTAATTATATGTATTTCAAAATTTAAGCGCCAAACAAAAAAAACTTTCCCCAAAATTTTCCATCTTCGCTGCAACCGCCACAATGTCATCGCCTTCCTCAACACTCTTCATCGCTCTCCAATGCTTCCAATGCTCCACCATGCAGGCACTCCCTCTCTCTCTCTCTCTAACAAATTCCGATTTCCGATCTATTTCCTTGACTGTTACTACTTTCAGGTAAAACAAAAGAAGAAATGCAGCAACAAGTGGAGTTGCGCGGTATGCAACGAGAAACAATCGGTTCGCAAAGTCTTCGCACAGGGATACAAAGCGAAGGATGTCCGCACGTTTGTTCAAACCTTCAACATGTCTCGGAAATCACTCGAAGATGACCAGCAACGGCTCCTTGCCGGAACCCTAACTCCCACGCCGGAACATTCCGACGGCGAATCTGAATTTCCAGACGAGCTGAATAGTAACAAGAAGTGTACCGATTGGACTGTGTATCTGGAACATGACGATCATCATGCCGAACAAGAGCAACACGGTTATTTCTTATTTTATTTTATTTGAATTTTATGATATATTGTTATAGAATTTTAGTGCTTAGTAGTAATTAAATTAAAGTAAACTCCGTAGTATACTCATATGAAGTCAAGGTTTTAACTAGCGGTCGCGTAAAGACTTTTGTGATTTTTATTTTATCGGTACCGGTGTTGCGACACTGATAGCGGTCATTGTGGTGTGAATTAATCACAATTTATTATTTATCAAAAAAATGATAAATAATATATTAGTATTGACATCTTTCAATATCGTTTTGTTGCGGTCGTTTTGCTGTAACAAATCGCATTTTAAAATCTTAAAAGCAACCACCGACAAAGATATAGACACACGGTATGACACTAACACTAGCATGCAGATAGTTATAATATTTTGTGAAAATTGAAGTAATTGAGTATAACCACGTGTCATTGTCGGACCCTAAGACATGTCATAGTTGGACACCTGACACACTTTCAAGTTGTCGTGTCAGGGTAACATGACAAACACCTAACACAACACACACATTAACATGTAGATATTGATAATAATTTGCTAAAATTAAAGTGATTGAATACAATCATATGTATTAGTGTCGTGTCATTGTAAGACATTGACATGTGTCAGAGTCGGACACCATACACACTTTCAATATGTAGTGTCGATGCAACATTGGTGCACGTCAATTGTTAAAAGATAATTATATAGTGTATTATCTTGGCAATTGCATATTGATTGAGTATTATAGCTATCATGTCATGCCAGTTGAAGAAGAACATGTTAGTTTAGTTTTAGGATTGGTTATACAATATACTTTAGAATTGAAAGAGAATATAGGAGTAGGACCTTGATTTGCTAAGCTCAAAACATAATATAGTAAACAAAGCTTTTGGACAAAGATCAGAAGGCTTGCATTTTAAGTTTGTGTTGGAAATGTCAATCACCTGATTTAATTAAACCGTTCTGATTCATGAAATAAAATGATTGTGTTATTCTTTGACCGGAACACATTATTGTGCAGAAAACATAGATTGTATGACATAGCCACCACTAAATTTTGGCATATAAATGAACTGTATAGTATAGACACACGACATGACACTAACACTGACATGTAGATAGTTGTAATATTGTGAATTGAAGTAATTGAGTATAACTGTGTGTCATTGTCAGAGACTAACACATGTCATAGTTGGACACTAGACACACCTTCAAGTTGTCGTGTCAAGGCAACATAAAAAGCACCTAACACGACACAAACATTAACATATTAAAATTAAAGTGATTGAATATAATCATATGTATTAGTTTTGTGTCAGTGTCAGACATTAACATGGGTCAAAGTCATACACCATACACACTTTCATTATGTAGTGTCGATGCAACACAGTTAAACGCCAATTGTTATAAGATAAGTATATTGTGTATTATCTGGACAATTGTAGATTGATTGAGCATTAGCTATAGTGTCATGCCACTTGAATAAGAACATGATAGTTTAATTTTAGGACCGATTATCAATATACTTTAGAATTGAAAGAGCATTTAGGACCTTGATTTGCTAAGCCCGAAACATAATATAGTAACAGAGCTTCTGGACATAGATCGGAAGGCTTGCATTTTAAGTTTGTCTTGGGAATGTCAATCACCTGATTTTGTCAAACTGTTCTGATTTATGAATTTGCCTGTGTTATTCTTTGACCAAAGCAAATTATTGTGCAAAAAACATGTAGTAGTGTTTGACATAGACATCACTAAATTTCGGCATACAAATGGACTGTTTTAAAATAAATGGATATAGAATGGTCCTAGACTTTAGTTTACTCATATAGGGTAATTATAATCATTGTATGAAAAAGGTAACTATAATCATTGTATGAAAAAGGTAACGCTCTGATTTTGTAGCATTTAGCAGAATTAGTTCATTTTCACAGTTGTAGAAGTTGACTTCGTTTTGATTAGTTGTGCTGAGTTTGATGTATTTGGATGCATTGAATTGAACAGAAGATGATTTTGAGCCATTGGTAGTGACTGAGTTGCCGAAGGACATGTTCAAGAAG